GTTGACCTTTATCAGCTCAAGAAGTTAAACAAAACATGTAGACCCTCCTCCTTCTTCTTTAGCAAGTTATGGTTCCGTTTTCTACACCGGCTACAGTGCAAATTCCTCTTCTGGTGTATAAATATCCTGCCGAGCAAGCATTGCCACGGTCTGACTGGGGCAGATGCCACTGCCTCAATGTGCTGAACAAGGAGTAGCCGCAGCAGCAGCAGCAGTTACCACCGAGCCAGCCAGGGGCTTCACTGAGCCACTGTACAACACTCATGGCGACTCCAGCTCAAACCTGAAGTACCCGAAGCACAAACGAGTGCACAAAGGTTATTGTTGTCATGCGACTACAGTGCCTCCGTGTCCAAGTACAAATATTAAACAAAGGGGTTAGTCATCCCCCACTTCAGCGCGGGGGAAAAAATGCAGCCTCTATCAGCAAGTTGTTATGCTGCAAAGCCTTACCTGAAATACTAAACCGTATTTGCCTTTGGAACATTACAACAAAGTCTCTGCTTAGCAATGCAAAGCAAACATTGAATTAGAAAATCCATGTTCAGATTTACACTGATTTTATATGAAGGCACTTAGGAAAACTCAAGTTAGCACTGACGATATTTCCAGTTCCAATAGTGCACATTTATCAGTGATCATAAAATAAATCTATTTTTTAAGAGGTTAATATCGTGAGCATACATACATAACATAAAGGACATAAGCCCTACGATAAAAAAAACTCATGACATTACTGTATTGCTCAATCTGTACCTGAGTAACAATAACGTTATTTGGCAAATAAGATATTACTTTGAAAAAAAAACATCTAAAATAATGTCAAATACCCTGAATCTATATTCACCTCAATCAGGATTCTGCATGGCTCACGAACCATCAATGCATTCTGAGTGGTAGTACAGTATACCTGCAATATAAACAATACCTAACCCCCATCATCAATGCAAAGACAACTATGTAGTGGTTCTATGATCATCATGAGCCATGAACTATCCATAGTTGGATGGAGACCTCAACCAAGTCATACAAATCGCTCAAGATTCTGCTTTGCAACAATCCATCTTGCTCCTTCTTACACACGAGCCAATTCGATTCCTCCATCTCTTCCAAACCACTTGAATCTATTCTCATCTACCTTATTTAATCATTTTCATTGCGTTCGACCTTCAATTACCGCCCTAGGTATACATACCTAGGACAGCACATTAACTTATCCAACCAATCCAGGTAATCGCCATGGTAAGTATTCCCAAATGGCAATGGAAATAGCCGTAAAGTCCATTAAAAAGTACACTCATGTCCTTTACAGGCTTAAAATTGTTCATATCATTATAAATAAGTACCAAACATTACTATTAGGCACCTTTAGCCAGGAAAGCCTCACTGAGTCTCATGACTTTGTCAGGAGGGTCCTGCAAAGCTTTTGCGGTGTAGGGGGGGGGGCAAAGATTGATATGCATATTACAAATGAATAATCTGTGGGTAAGTTATACAAATTTCATAATTAAGACATTTCCAAAACATGATAAAATCCCAAAAAATTCGTACGTGTATATTTACTACACTGGAGCGTGGCAATGCGGGTAGATGGTTTCAACTCATGACAGGAGGATACAAAGTAAAATACTGGCCTCAGCTCAGCAGATTACCCACTTGTGGTTGAGAAAAGGAGGACTGCTCTGGGGGAGGGGAAAGTTGACAGTGGAAATGTTGAACTTACATCAATGGTTAAGAGCTACCAATGGAAATAAGAAATGTGTACAAACAAGATAAATATAATGTACTGAGCTACAATAAAACACGCATCTCCCAGTAGGTCAATAGCATCCCTATCGCAAATTCACTCACATCGTGTTCAGTCAATAAAGAAAATAACACAATTTTATAGTGGTCGTAAACATGTTATTTTTTAAGTTAGCTATTAAATAAGTTAACTGTTAACAACCTTAAGCGCATCCCGAGATGACTAATTTTCTTAAACAATATGGTTATTTAACAAAAGGTATATTAACATAATTAAATGTCAACGTTCCACAATAGCTCTTGTACCAGGTTTGATGCACAAGGCTGTGCAGTGTAGCTAACACTTTCTGACATGGGATGGGTAATGAGGCACATCAAAGTACAGTAACTTGGATATGTAGACAGGAACAGACCAAGCATCCTGCATCCTTTTTTCTGGTTTGACAGTCTAATGATCTTGTGTAAAGAACATCGCCCATTTGCTTCACATTTATTTAATATGGGACTACCACCAGCTCAAATGGGATGTTTACAAGCACGAGATTGATTTCGGTCTGTTTTCTTCACAAGGGACATAGGCCCAACGGACCTCTAGATCTTGCTGTATTAGTGAAGTCCCTCTGATCTGGATTAACAGCCAATGCTTTGGGCATAAGGCAAGCAAGCAATATAACGTGGCGAGCAGAGCCAACATCCGACCTGTTTTGCTTGAGAACACCACAAGGCATGACAATGTAGATACTTTTTTGTAATCCTTCACAACGTTCACCCTGAACTATTATGAAAGTGTTGAGCTGGTGAAGATTTTGCAGGAGGGTTCTTTTTAAAACCACCGAAAAGCAACAGCAACACGTCTGTCGCCGTAAACTCCAAACGCATTGATATTGTGCGTGCAATTACAAATTCTCCTTCAGGGGTCAATGCAGACCATAAACCCTTCGGGGGAGGGATGTGACAAACAAAATTATGCAAGTGGAGGTTGGTCATGCCATAGACACTGGACCACAAAAGCGAGAGATTTCGACCACTGGCTCTGGACCTGCCAGGGAATAAAACGTGTCACTTAATCGCACGTTTGAGCAAGTACTCTGGATAATGCATTCTTCAATTCCTAACGCGCAGTGTTTGACCCAAAGAATATATGGATACGATTAATTCTTGTTGGATGAAGCAGTAGTTTTAGTTCCCGAAAAATAAACTGGCGAGCGAAGAAATACCCTGCTAAAGATTGAAATAAATCAGTTACTACGGTACAATACTTGCTCAGACTTCCTGCCATCCTAACACGACTATGAACAATACTTGAAAATGCGTCGTCATCCAAGTCTCACAATGCCTATGTTACGCAATAACAGAACTTAAAATGTTCGTAATTAGTTCGCAAAATACTCCAATGCCACAAAGCTCACTAAAAGTCAAGGCACTTTCTGTTGTGTGCCTTGACTTTGTTATTGAAAAATACTTTTAACGTAGTCTATATATACACACACAAAAGGTATTCTTACATATAAAAGACGAGTAGTACAGATTATACAAAAGGCCAATAATAAGACGCGTTCAGCTACTGGATGTGCCACTTGTCTGCTGGTGTGCATCGCGTGAATATTGCCAAACACAAATGGCAGCAATACATGGCAAATAAGACGGTGTTTACACGGCAACCATATGGTAGAAATCACAGCGAAGTACTCTATTTAACCTTGCTGGATAAATAAAGGAAAGGATTTTGCTTTCAGGAGGGAGTCGGGCGGCATTGTGTGACGTTTGCCAACATTCTCTTGTGTTTGTCATGTGGCAGGGGAAAAGCGAGGCGAAGAAGCGTGCCGCCGGATGCGTGAGAGAGACACACACACACAGCAGAGAGAGAAAGAGAGAGACACACACAGCAGAGAGAGAAAGAGAGACACACACACACAGCAGAGAGAGAAAGAGAGAGACACACACAGCAGAGAGAGAAAGAGACACACACAGCAGAGAGAGAAAGAGAGACACACACACACAGCAGAGAGAAAGAGAGACACACACAGCAGAGAGAGAAAGAGAGAGACACACTGCAGAGAGAGAAAGAGACACACACAGCAGAGAGAGAAAGAGAGACACACACACACAGCAGAGAGAGAAAGAGAGACACACACACAGCAGAGAGAGAAAGAGAGAGACACACACACACAGCAGAGAGAGAAAGAGAGACATGGGCGAGGTCTCCTCTCTCTCGGGGTTTTTTGTTGTTGCAGACCGCTGCTCGTTGACGCCCTCGGGCACCGCGAGTAACGGAGGCGACGATCCACGGCGTCGGTGTGCAGAGACACAAGAAGCCCTGGTCAGAGCGAGAGATAGAGAGATAGAGAGAGATAGAGACGCAAGGAGCCTAGAAAGGCGACAGAACGAGATGTGTGTGTGGTCGAGAGAGAATTGTGTGGGGTCCAGAGAGATGCGGTAGCGTGAGGCCGTGAGGCCGTGACCGTAAGAAACCGCGAAGGGATCCGAGGCATCGATACGAGGAGAGGGGGGGGGAGGCGTGATAAGCCGTGAAAGATGCCGTGAGATGCCGTGAGAAGCCGTGAAAGATTCCGTGAGAAGCCGTGAAAGATGCCGTGAGAGATGCCGTGAGAAGCCGTGAGAGAAGCCGTGAGAGATGCCGTGAGAGATGCGTGAGGCAACGCAGCACGAAGCCGCGTGATGGATGCGTGAGCGAGCCGCGAGGTTCTTTGAGACACGGGGCCCAGCCGTGAGCTGGCGAGAGGAAGGCGCGAAGCCTGCGGGATGGGGAGAGCGTGAGAGGCGTGAGAAACGTGAGTTGTTGATGTCTCCTGTGGGAGGGGGGGGGCCCCGTGGCATCGGCTAACAACGCGGAAGTGTTGGCGAACGGGCCCCGCGCGGGGCGTCGTCTCCCGGGGCAGGGTCGGGGTGGTGGTGATGGGGGTGGGTAGGAGGAGAAGAAGCCCCGGGCGGGCGAGAGACGAGAGACGGGCAGCCCCGGCGAGCACGAGGAGAGAGAGAGAGACACGGGAGAGAGGCCCGGGGTAGTGATGGAGGAGGAGGTGGAGGTAGTAGTGGTGGTGGTGGTGGTGGCCTCGCGCAACGAGCCTCCCTCGGCCCCGTGCGGCGCCTCTGCTAAGGCGATGGCGGGAGACGTAGAGCTCCCCGTAAACGCCCCCGCTCCACGGCGAGGACGTCTGGTCACCGCGCCGGGGCTTCCTCGCTGCCCGCCGCGGTGAAGGAGGCGGCCGAGGCGCCCCGAGGTGGCCCCTCACCTTGTCCTGCTCCGAGATCTGCTCCTCGTAGTCCGCCATCTTGCGCCACCGCGAGCCCCGCCCGCCGCCGCCGCGCGATGCATGCCGGGAGCGGCGCGCCCCGCTGCCGCCTCCGTGCCCATATAAGGCGCGGGGCCTCCAGCAGCCAATCAGGCTGAGGCTCGCAGAGACTCAGAGCCACACACAGAGAGATTCAGAGCCACACTCAGACTCACTGAGCCACAGACTCACTCAGACTCACAGAGCCACACAGAGATTCAGAGCGACACACACAGAGACTCAGAGCCACACACAGACTCACAGAGCCACAGACTCACTCAGACTCACAGAGCCACACACAGAGACACACTCAGACTCACTGAGCCACAGACTCACAGAGACACACTCAGACTCACAGAGCTACACAGAGACTCACTCAGACTCACAGAGACTCACTCAGACTCATAGATCCACAGACTCACAGAGACTCACTCAGACTCACAGAGCCACAGACTCACAGAGACTCACTCAGACTCACAGAGCCACACACAGAGACTCAGAGCCACACACAGAGCCACACTCAGACTCACAGAGACACACACAGATACACACACAGACTCACAGAGACACACTCAGCCACAGACTCACAGAGCAACTCACACACAGACTCACAGAGTAACTCACACACAGACTCACACAAGACTCACAGAGTAACTCACACACAGACTCACACACAGACTCACACACAGACTCACGGAGTAACTCACACACAGACACAGAGTAACTCACACACAGACTCACAGATTAACTTACACACAGACTCACACAGACTCACAGAGTAACTCACACTCAGACTCACACACAGACTCACAGAGTAACTCACACAGACTCACAGAGTAACTCACACAGACTCACACACAGACTCACAGAGTAACTCACACACAGACTCACAGAGTAACAGTCAATAAATATAGAGCAGATAGCTACACTGAGTGCAAGAAACATTACAAAACAGAAGAGCAGTCGGACAGGGACCAAAAATATTCACAGTGGCATTAAAATATATTTTCCAAATATATTGAGATAAATGGAGAGTGTGCATTGGCCATCTCTGTTACAATTAATAATCGGAAATATTGTGTTGTGTAACCATGATGAGTGGCAATTAAATTGTATGCTAACAAATTCTACACATTCAGTAGTAGGTTTTTACCCTTTAAACTGGTACAAAACTGACACCTTTATACAAAGCATCATGTTTGCAATAACCACAACACAAGTAGTCAAAATGCAAACAAAAAGAAACAAATCTGATGATGATAATGATATGCACTGTCCTTGAAGTTGATTGGTCCACACCCAAGACAGCTTTACTTAGAGCCTAGTCTCCATTGGTGTTGGACCAGATAACACCAAAAGGCGTACAACTCAAAGACAGCGCACTATCAGAGTATTGAGAGCTCGGGGTAAGCATTTACACTATGAGACCTCCTTTACCAGTGGCAAAATATAGTAGTGTAATAAATGGACTCGGACACTTCCTTCTGTCTTCGTGTCTTTTATTGGGTTCTCGTCTTCACCCACACGGCACTCTGTTATAACTCTGTATTTGTAGCCCCCCCCGGCTATTCACTGCTATTATAGCTTCTTCTTCCCTCTGACTCTCTGCTTCATCTACTGTAACCTCCTCCCTGCAGACTCGCTGCTACCTCTATGCAGACTCCCGCTGCTACCCCTATGTGCAGACCCTCTGGCTGCCACTGTATGCAGACCCGCTGCCCACTCTCTCTGTGCAGCCCCGCTGCTGACTGCAGCCTCCTCGCTGCCTCGGGTCGGTCACCGCTGGCCAACGGTGCCGATCCTCGCTCCCCCCGTGTTCGTGGCGATCTCGCCACCCTCCGCTTCGCCCTTCGTGGCCTCTCTCTGTTCCTGGTTCCCCGTCACTCTCTATCCTTTTCCGGTTCCCCTCCTTCTATAGCTCAACCCCTCTCCCCCCACGTGACCTAACTCCTCCCCTCATGACGGCACCTCCGGAGGGCCGTTTACGCCCGCATTACATCACCCTCCCCCATAAAGAAAATCCAGCCGACCTCGGCTGAATTGCAACCTGAAAAGCAATGCGGGTGTAAAGGGCCAACACGTAAAAAGACACGAAGCATGCAACAACAATATAACAATGAACACAACACAACACAATCTAACGAAACGTGAGGGATTTCGAGCGAGTACGGGCAGCCGGGCCGTCCCGGACGGTCGGCAGACCACCCGCCGAGCGGGAACGTGGAAGGGTTTTAGGGGCGACGGGCGCAAGTTCTTCCGTCGCCATTGGAGGCCCGCCACTGTCCCGCTCGCGTCCAGAGACATCCCGTACTCGCGTCCGCGGAGGGATAGGAAGAGCTGCAGGTCCCGTGGGTTCTGCGGCTCCAGTCGACGTCCCACGAGCGGAACGTCCTCCTCCCTACGCTGTCACGGCCGGCTTGTCTGTGAAGGGTACGACAGGCGCTCTCGCAAGGTCAGCAGACACAGGCAAGGGCGAGTCGGCAGCAACAGACCCCGGCAAGGCAACTTCGGGAGATGACGCATCCGGCCGCGGGGCAATGTATGGCTTCAACCGGGATGTATGCACGAACCAGCGCCGTGAACCAACCTGAACACGCGCCGACTGTGGGTTGGGAACCTCAATGAGGCGGACCGGACCCTGCCAAGGTCTATGTAATTTAGGAGAGGTACCTGGCCGCACCTGTGGGCAATGAAGCCAGGCCAGGTCCCCCTTTTTCCAGGGGCACTCCCCCTTTGATCGTCGGGCACACCGCTCATTCCTGGCCTGAGCCTTGGCAGTAGCCATGCGGGCACTTTCCCTCGCCTCAGCGACACGCCGAACGTTGTCCTTAATATACTCAGGAAGAGGCTTAACAGGCCCCCTCGCGCCGGTTCCCAACTGTTCATTAATCGGCGGCACATTCTCACGGCCGTACATAAGGAAGAACGGCGAGTATCCAGTAGCCGCGTGCGGCATCATGCGATACGCCGAAAGCACCCCAGGGATATGCAAATCCCAATCAGATTGATTTTCCCCGACTGTATGGCACAGCATGGCGGACAGAGTCCGATTCAACCGTTCCACCATACCATCCGTTTGCGGGTGGTAGGGGGACGTCCGTATCTTTTTAGTTCCAAGAGCCGCACACACCTCCCCCAACAATTTGGACGAAAAGTTACGTCCTTGATCCGTAAGGAGCCTCTCCGGCGCCCCTTTGTCCATTACATACCCAAATAGAAAGGCGTCAGTGATAGACGCCGCTGACTGGTCAGGCAAAGGCCAGGCCATCGGCCAGCGAGAGAGGTACTCAACCCCCACCAGTAAATACTTATTTCCCTTAGCGGATGGCGGAAAGGGTCCCAAAATATCTAACGCCACCAGCTCATTAACCCGAGATACTTTAATCGATTGTATCGGCGGAACATATGGATGTTTAGGTGGTTTACGGCGGGCGCAATCGGGACACGCGCGAACGTGACCGACGACATCCGTCGTCATGCCGTGCCAATAATAGTCTCGTTGCAGCGTCCATAGGGTTTTCTGCACCCCCAGGTGTAAAAGTGTGTCACAGTGCAAAGATCTAATCAACTCATACCGCAATGACGCAGGCACAACGAGACGCCAGTGTTCCTGTATCCCTTCCCTCCACATCAGTAACCCATCTCGGAGAGCAGTTTCCGAAATACCACCCGCACCGACTTCCTTACCCGCCTTCTCCGTTCGTTTTCGTAACGACACCAAAGATTCGTCCAACATTTGCTCCCGAATCCACACAGACCTTGGAAGACGCAAAATCCCGTCAGCCGGTCCCCCATCAACCGGTCCCGGTGTAAGCGGAGTTTCGAGAACATCCACTGCCAGCGCGACAGGCTGAGGGGGGGGCTGAGTCGGTCCACACCTATGCGTCCCCGACGCACACGCACAAGGGGATCGTTGCGGCAACCTGGACAGTGCGTCCGCGTTAGCGTGACGCACACCCTTCCGATGGTGAATTTGGAAGGAGAATTCTTGCAACGTGTCCAGCCATCTCGCCAATTGTCCGGATGGCTGGTCCATCTTAAGAGCGTACTGCAAGGCCGCATGGTCCGTGCGGACAATAAACGACCGACCGTACAGATACGGTCGAAATTGTCGGAGAAAAAACACAATAGCCAAAAGTTCCCTGCGAGTGACGCAGTAACGGGTTTCCGCGGGAGATAAAACCCGACTCCCATACGCCACCACACGCTCAACACCACCTTTTGACTGGGACAACACCGCCCCAATACCAGTGTCACTCGCATCAGTATCCAGAATGAAGGGATGTTCAAAATCCGGATAATCCAACGTCGGCGCAGTAGCCAGTAAATCGCGCAGGCTCCGAAACGCCGCCTCCTCCGGCGGTCCCCACACAAATTTATGCCCCTTCCCAGTAAGGAGATGCAAAGGCCTGGCGATAGTAGCGAAATTCGGAACAAACCTCCGATAATATGAGGCGAACCCCAAAAACCGACGCACATCACCCACCGTGGCCGGGGTTGCCCAATCCCGGACACACGCAGTTTTCTCTGGATCCGTGGCCACCCCGTCCGCACTAACAATATGTCCCAAGTATCGAACGGAGCGTTGCAGTAGATGACATTTCTTAGGCTTGAATTTCAAATTAGCAGAACGCATTCTGGCGAATACAGCCTCCAACCGCAGTAAATGCTCATCAAATGTGCGGCTGAAGACTATAATATCATCTAAATAAATGAGACATGTCTCCCACTGCAACCCCGTCAATACCAACTCCATCAACCTCTGAAAAGTGGCAGGGGCAGCATTCAACCCCATCGGAAGACAGTTAAATTGGAATAACCCCTGCGGCGTACGGAAAGCTGTCTTTTCTCGCGAGGGCTCGTCAAGGGGAAGCTGCCAGAAGCCCGAAGAGAGATCTAGCGTTGAAAAAAACTTAGCCCCTGACAAGGCGTCGAGAGAATCGTCCATACGCGGCAGGGGATACGCATCTGCCACCGACACTTTGTTCAACTTCCGAAAATCCACACAAAATCGCAATTTACCATCCTTCTTTTTAACCAACACAACAGGCGCGCCCCATGGGCTAT